GTTCTTCATTTTCTCGGTCTTTCTTTCTGGTATCATCTCGTAGGATATTATCTTGCATGTCCTTTTTTAACTGCTCGGCCTTTGAGAAATAAATCGCGGTAGACAATTAATAATCTGGAAATATTAGTAAAAACATGTCAATATAACTGAGACTTTGCTCTTGTCTAAACGAATTTGCTATATATCCAAGAAGATGATGGTGGTTTTAATTCAGAGCATTGACGTTTTATCAAAGATCATTAAAAAAAAACACTCTCTGTCAACGTTTTTGTATTTCAACAACTTCGGATTTCTTCATTTCGATATTGCCACATGCTTTATTAGGCAAACTTACTTTCTCTGAGGGTGACCTCTCAAGCAAAATACAAAATTTTACATTTGTGCAATTCTTAACCATTGACATTTTCAACTCCGAAGATGCTTCGCGCACAGGACACAAACAAGTTCTGTAACTTCTGTTCAAAATTAATGTTAAGATTACGTTCGCTGCGCAGTTTCATCAGTATCTGTCAACAAATGAAATTGTAATTTTCCTGTCATAATTACTAATTTAAACATGAATCGACTATTCCTGGAACTTTTGCAAGCAACCTCGTATATGCCTTACAAAGAGTAAAACAGGTAAAAATGCAATTCTTACATCTAACGTTTTGGGCCTACGAAGTATATTATTTTAACCACATAATGGAATATAAAAAAAAGTCCACGATAATGTAATTTCATGCCGGCTGCTCTAGCTTTCTGTGGAGTTTACGCAGAATCGACTTGAAAACAAAAGGGTAAATTGTATGCACATTTCTCCATCCCTGTAACATTATCTAGCCTTGAAGAGCCCAGTGAGTCATGGGTGCAGAGCTTCTTGTGCTGTGTTTTTGGTGTGCATTGTTGTGTGTGTTGGTGCAATCAAAAGGATGCAGTTTTTGTGGGTGGGTTTCTATTTTTTTTTTTTCTGGGGATGAGGACCTAGGCTGCATACAGTCGTGGGAACTAGGCTGCACTCTCTCATGGGACGATGACGGGTTGGGGTTAGGGTCAGTTGTGGATGTTTGGGGTCGTTAAAAGCCCTCACATCGTGGAATATAGAACACTCGATGTCGCTGGTAGTTGAAAACGTTTTTTTTTCTTTCTCGAAACTCTATGCCCCCCCCCCCCGTGGAAAAATCACCATCTGTGAGGGTGGCTTTTTTTTTAAAACTCGGTGAGAAATTTCCAATTGGGGTACTGTGGAGGTGGCACTTAAAAGAGTCAATCATTCTAGATGTATACTACTGGGTTCACGCACGAATTGACAATCAGAACAAATTTTACACGTTAGTAGATCTGGACAAAGGATTTTAAAGATAAAGAAGTGTGCTATAAAAAAAAAAATCTAACAATAAAGGTTCTTGCAGACAAACATAAATGCATTTACTAGAGTCAACATGAACACATATATCAATAACGTGTAGCAATAAACTGAAGTTATTCCAGCAAAACTAAAGAAAAATTATTGTCAACTCTTTGATACTGATGGAATATTGCATCAGATGACTAGGTGGGGGATTTTTTTATTCTAACAACTTCAGCACATTGAAATAGATCATTCATCTGCAACAGCTGTGCAGCATACACATATCTTACATAAAATGAATATAAATGATTAAGGATAAATATTACTATTATTAGACTACCACAGCTTATAATTATGTTTTTAGTTAATAATTAGCAACCAAGCATTATGCACAGTCAATATGAAAGTGATATGTACAATAATTATATCCTCCCGACCAATTTTTCATAACAAGACTACAGCATTGTTTATCTCTATGGCACAAACAGCAAAAAATAAATTTCTACAATTTCATCTTGTTGAATGAAATCAGTTCACTTTCACTTTCATTTTTTTTTTTTTTTTTTTTTTGGTAATGGTTTAAAATACACATATTCCGGAGGCGTTTGCCTGAGATGCAAGAAACCAGCGGTCTGCATGAAAATATGTTGAATGTGTATAACGGAAGTGCATGCAACAACCAGTGTCGGAAAAAAGACCAAACTCCCCAAGAAAAGACTCTCTACCCCCCCCCCCTCCCCCTTTTCCACAACGAGCATGTTGAAAGAAGTCAATTGGCGTTTGCCTGAGATGCAAGAAAGTCGAATCTGTATAACAGAACTGCACTCAACAACCAGTGTCTGGAAACAAGACTAAACTCCACAAGTGGATAAACAACTACACATTTCAGCCACAGTTTGCAGCCGGTGAACACGAAGAAGAAGAAGATAAACAAAAATGAAATTAAATAGTTGAGGATTAATATTAGTACACTGCTGCAACATACAATTATTTATACTGTTAGGTAATACTTAATAACGATACAAGTTAACTGCTGTGAGAGGTTAGTTAATTATGCACATTTTTCTCCTCTTAACCAAAGTCAAAGGCTGCTCCTTCCAACAACAACAAAAAACCTTGATACAGTATCATTAAACACAACACAAATGTATGCATAATCGATATTGTGGAAGGTTAATGGATTGGCAAAGGTGTTATATGTATTCCTGTCTGAGAATTTTCTCAGAGTAGTTGTCCGCAAAGCAATCACTGCCACAATTGAAAAACTACACTCTTGAACTAACAATATTGATAATCTGAAATAAATTTGCATTTAGATCCCTTAGTATTCTTAGTACATAGGTACCAGCTTCATAGTATTTCTTTATAAACCTGTATTTCTTTTAAATCTGTAGCTAAGCTTGCATGAAATGTTATGAACAAAAAATTTACTCCACACACACACACAAACACACACAAACACACACATACACACACAGACACACGCGCAACCCGACCGACTGTCTCTCGTGAATGTGAATTTGTTGAAATCTGACACTGCAGAGTTTGAAAGTAAAGGCAAAATAACACAAAATGTCATATGCAATTCTATAATCACACTTTAATAAAGGAATACAACATTTCTGAGGCATTTTGATTCACAATCCATAATATAGTCAAACAATGATCTGTCCACAGCACAGCAACAACAAACATGACAAAATCTACAACCAGGTTTATTCAGGAAGTCTGGGTACAACATTTATGACGTCACAGAAATGCACTGAAAGGCCAGTATATATATTATCCTGTAGGTCGTGATACACACACACACACGCACGCACGCACGCACGCACATACACACACACACACACACCACACACACACCACACACACATATCACACATACATACACACATACACACATGCATACACACATACACACATACATACATATACATTTGCTAGTGATATGAGAACCCCTTTTGCCTTTTGTAATTGCATTTTAATATGTCTAGCTATATTTTTGACTCAGTAATGTATTATTGCACCAACCTGCACCCATCTTGTGACACACAAATGGTTTGGGGTTTGAGGTTTAAACAACGGATCAACATCTTGGCACACGGGTAGTCTGTAGAACCGGCATAAATCCTGAAATACTAGGAGTATAGATTCCTAACACCACATTTTGCCTGAGCAGCACCATTAGGCTACTCTTTTTTATTTACAAATGCCAAGGGATTTTGTTACGTGCGCAGCAATGCACACGGGCGTCATATAGCCTTTACGGGTGATTGAACCCGTACCCTCTAGCACTCGAGGTGGAAAATCGTGTGCGCTGAATTGATTTACAAGAACCGTTATCTCATCACCCTGGACACTCACATAATCGCTATGTCCGCATCTTCAGATGCGAAGTGCTCTATCTCTAACGGTACCACCAGTAGTCTCTGTGTATGCCCGTCTTGTCTTTCCTTGGAGTGTGAAGTGTCGGTCAGATCCACTGGTCGCTCCCCGCTTCATAATTCTCTTTAGACCTTAATGATATAATTGTGACTCTTGAGAATTCTCTCTTGAGAATGTTTAGTTGTCATGCAGTACTTTATTACCGACTTGTGGTATATGTCTGTCTCTTCGTTTCCCTATACATCTGCATATGCAGGAGAAAATAACAAAAAATGAAACCAACTACCATGGACATCTGAAACGATGCTTGCCACTCTGCGATGATCATACCTGTCTCCACATTTCTCAGCATGCTATACGCGTCATTTACAATTTAAAAAATGGGAATTCAGTTGGTTCTTAAGCTAACAGAAGGTTACAGTGACTGCTGATACCTCCATCTCAAAGTAGATGTTGTGATATCATACGCTAGACTTGTTACACTAAGAGTCGTCCATTCTTTTTCGTACGGAACCTACACTTATCGCTCTCTTAACCGAAATCTATCATTAAAGATAATCAGATCCCCTTAGCGGGAAGTGTCAAGAATCAGTTATTGAACTTTTGATTTTTCCGGGTGGACTCACTACGAAACTTTACCACATGCTCAAAACGTCTGAAGGTGTGTACAGGGACCTTAACTTTACTATGTATCAAATACGCCGGAAATAGTCGATAAGGGACCTTTACTTAACTTTACTAAATGATCAATACGTCTGAGGGCGTGCAAAGAACTTTTACTTAACAACTCAACCGTTTATGGGGTGAGATATTAATAAAAGTAAATATGAATTTCCTTTATGAATAAAGTGCACGCACTGCCTACGCGGGTAAGTTTGCACGGTTTGATGCACTCGACATTTTTGTGTCGCTTGCACAAAAACGTCGCAAACTAACCATACAATTTGTTGGCTGTTTCTGGTTTTAGCTAGCCATTTTTTATATTATGTATCTGGTAATGGATGACTCTCATATTATTATCAAAATTAACATAATGCGTCTCCGACCAGACTGTGTGTAGCCGAATATAACCCGATGTTAATATTAGGACACTGCGTTTACAACTCCTAAGACACAAAAGCCGATTATAAGCTTCGTTATTTACAAATTACATACCTTAGTTTTTAATCAGTCAATTGTTTCTTCTAACGTTTCACTGCAGAATACTGACAATACAGAGAAAAGTAAACACGAATCGACCTATCTTCAGTAAAACTAACAAGTAAAAGTCGCGGTGTCATAAATGGAAGTAACATCTGCGTCAGTTCTGAATAGCTTAATTGTTGGAGTTTTACTGCTCTTTGGATTATATTTTCTATCTTGGATTTTTCGTCGATCACCCAAAAATGTACCGCCAGGTCCTAGAGAATGGGGCACCAATTGGAAGATTCTGAAGGCATCCTGGAATGGTACTCTACCGAAACTAGCCAGTGAATGGGCTCTGAAGTATAAAGACATCACTTTTGTGTACAGCTTCGGATTGCAGCTTGTGTTCTTAAATAGTGCAGAGATTACACGAAAGTTATTAACATCCAATAAGTATAAATTCCTTGTTGCCGACAGATCTCCTAATGCAGCAGCTAGAATTATTGAGTTGAACGGCAAAGATTTAGTATTTTCAAAGTTTGATGGTAAGTTTAACATAGTTTTTTTTTATATAGTTCTGCATTTATTTCCTGTATTCACACGTGTACCAGAACTTCAACTGTAGATTTTTCTCAGTGATACATCAGTTAAGTGATTTTAAGTTACTAGAATATCCAGTCTGTTATGCAGGATGACTAGAATATCCAGTCTGTTATGCAGGATGACTAGAATATCCAGTCTGTTATGCAGGATGACTAGAATATCCAGTCTGTTATGCAGGATGACTAAAATATCCAGTCTGTTATGCAGGATGACTAGAATATCCAGTCTGTTATGCAGGATGACTAGAATATCCAGTCTGTTATGCAGGATGACTAGAATATCCAGTCTGTTATGCAGGATGACTAGAATACCCAGTCTGTTATGCAGGATGACTAGAATGTCCAGTCTGTTATGCAGGATGACTAGAATATCCAGTCTGTTATACAGGATGACTAGAATATCCAGTCTGTTATGCAGGATGACTAGAATGTCCAATCTATTATGCAGAATGACTAGAATGTCCAATATTTTATGTAGTACTAGCTGAACCCGGCCACGCGTTGCTGTGGCGTAATTTGACTACATGGAAAATAGAGAACATAGAAATGTGTCTTCGCTTCACGCTAGCGATGTACAGAGCAACAGCTAAACCACAGCTAGTAAAACTTTGAGTGGGTAAGGCAGTTACTGTAACTTAAATCAATCTCAGTAAACAGTTTATTTTAACCACCCATCCCCCAGTTCACCTACTACTTTCTCCTTCATCGAAGTAGTTGGAAAAATTACCCTAGTGAAAAGCAATGAAAAGAGGAAAAATACACCATAATTACGACATGAGCACATTTGCTAATTGCTGTAAACAACCCTGCACGCGTTGCTACAATAGAAAGTGAATTGAAAGGAAAATCGCTTTAACAAAATGTAATTATATTGGATCATTGTGCCGGTAATTTAACATTAAAAATGTGTTTACTGAAGTGCTTTTGGGTAAACAATGTTCTTTGTTCTTCCGTCTGGCGCGTCCACAAATAAATTAGAAGGTTTTCTGACACGTGAACAGGCCACATATAGCTGTCCATGTAAAAAGCATGGATGTTCCAAATGTAGTCCACACACTTGTAGGGATTGTCCCTGTGATTTGTTTATGGTCATTGCAAAGGCGAGTCGCACCGGAAACTGCAAGCGTCTGAAGTCAAATGGCATGTCTGTTGGAATCATTGGGATGAGTGGCAATAGTATATTCCCGCCCTTAAATTTCCCATTTAACATTGTACCTTCGATGATATTGAGCATCAGCCTTTTCACTGAAAGCCTGGTACCATTGCAAAGACGTGGCGGATTGATGTTTCTGAGAAGAATGATGGGCACGCCAATTTTTATGGTTAGAATGTGGGGTGGCATGCCTGGAAAATCAAGTGAATTTAAGAACTCTGTTGGATAATTAACAATTTCGCCCTGATTCATTACAGTATCGATAGACTTATACGTTGTCACACCGCTTGGTAATTTATCTTAGATGATCGGATTCATGGCAACTCACAATCGAAAAGGTTGTTTGCAGATTGTTCAGCCCCACCTGAACCAGTGCTTTGTTAGTTATTGGCAGATCAGAGTAAAGCAGTGTCTTTGCAAACATATCTCTACACAATGAGAAAAATCAGTTAACGTGGTTGGCGGTGGTAACAATGCTCGTGCATGTGCATTCTCTGTAGTGATGTACACTCGCTGTCCATTGTCAAGGTGCACTGCCAAATGAACAACTGCTGGATGTCATTCATGAATTGGAAATGAGAAAATGCGCCATACCGCTTCATTGCTACTAATGTAGCGCCCCAGCTGATATTGCTTGATTTCATTGATAGATGCAGCTGCATGTCCCACTCCAAAGAATGCAATATCGCCTCCTTTGTTGACATATTTGCAAATGTACTTATGTTTGCCAAGAAATGTGTCGACTGGCCTGTGTCACCTACTACCAATGATGATAATGGTTCGGGTGGTGAATGTAATACTGGCCATTTAACTTTTCCACCAGCGCAGCACATACCCGGCATGTCATTCTTAAATTTGAAGGCACTGCAATGTACGCACAATTTATCAATTTTGCCAATAAGCGAGAGTGGATGAAGACCAATCATAATTGCTGGTGTAATGGAATGCACCAAGATTCAAATCAACATGCAGTGTTCGCCTGGATAAGGTAGTGCGCATTTGAACGTTTTGGAGTCTTGCTTTCCGTTGCTGGTCTGATTGAGATGAACGGGCTTCAGCAGTGCGCACTCGAATGGTTTCCAGTCTTACCTCACGTTGCTCGTCTGTTTTTGAAGCAATTAATGCCCTCCTCTTGCGTGTTTTAGGTGTAGATGGGCCAATCGCTTGTCGTTTGGGAAGCATAACTGCAAATTTTGTGAGCGCTGATCATCAGTAGCTTGTTCATCCTCATGATGAAAGTTGACTTGGAGTATCGCTGAAATAAATGAAAATATGAGCATGAGATAACAATCTATTTTGACTCAAGAGGAAATGCATAGAAACTGGGCAGCAAACAGTAAGAAAAGGCGGTATATAAGACAATATGAGAAAGCCAACAGATAATGTGCATACATTTATCATTGTGGGATTTAAGGAGTGGTCCACACATGTATTTGAAGTTAAAAAAATGTACATATTGACTGATGTCACTGGAAATAAATGCACTCACCTGTTGAGATATTTCTAGATTCTAACACTGACCTGAGACGGAATGTCATGTAAATTTATATACTTCTTTAGAATAACAGAAGAAAGCCAACCAAAACTGTTGTACCAATGAGTATGAGAAAGATAACAGATAATGATTAATCTTTTTCTTCTTCTTCGCGTTCACCAGCTGTACACTTTGGCGGAAAGTTCTCGTTGCTCGTCCACTACTGAACTGCAGTCCTGCTCCAGAACCTGAGTGTTGCGTGTGCATCAGTTTTACAGATCTTATTCTCTTGAATACAGACTGTTGGTTCCTTGCCTCTCTGGCAGATGCACTCCGACTTCAAAGGAGGCTCCCCAATTAGTCGACTCTTACGACATGCTTTTGGGGAGGCAGTGGGTCTATTCTTGTTTTCCCCACAATGGGACCCCGGAACCCACACGGAAAATAATGATAATGTGTATATATTTATCAATGCGGGATTTAAGAAGTGGTGCACACTTGTTTGAAGTAAACAAAAAACATGTACATACTGGTTTGCAGTCTCACCTCACGTTGCTTGTCTGTTTCTGAAGCAAAAAATGCCCTCCTCTTGCGTGTTTTAGGTGTAGGGCCAATCGCTTGTCGTTTGGGAAGCATAACTGTAAATTTTGTGAGCGCTGATCATCAGTAGCTTGTTCATCCTCATGATGAAAGTTGACTTGAAGTATCTCTGAAATAAATGAAAATATGAGCATGAGATAACAATCTATTTAGACTCAAGAGGAAATGCATAGAAACTGGGCAGCGAATAGTAAGAAAAGACGGTATATAAGACAATATGAAAAAGCCAACAGATAATGTGCACACATTTACCATTGTGAGATTTAAGGAGTGGTCCACACATGTATTTGAAGTTTAAAAAATGTACATAATGACTGATGGACCAATGTGTATACATTTATCATTGCTGGATTTAAGAAGTGGTTCTCATTTGTTTGAAGTTAACAAAAACATGTACATAATGCATAATGACTGATGTTTTATTTTTAGATTCTAACACTGACCTGAGACGGAATGTCGTGTAAATATATATAGTTCTTTTGAATAACAGAAGAGAGCCAACCAAAAATGTTGTACTACTTGTACTAATGAGTATGAGAAAGATGATAATGATAATGGTTAATGATAATGTGTATATGTATACACTGTATACATTTATCATTGCGGGATTTAAGAAGTGGTCCACTGTTGTTATTTAGAGTAAACAAAAAACGTACATACTGACTACTAATGTTACTTAAATAAATGTTTAGATATTTTTAGATTCTAACACTGACCTCAGACGGAATGTCGTGTAAATTTATATAATTCTTTTGAATAACAATAACAGAAGAAAGCCAACCAAAAATGTTGTGGTTGTACTACTTGTAACTTGTGCTACTTGTACTCATGGGTATACCGTATGAGAAAGACGATAATAGTTAATGATAATGTGTATACATTAACAATTGCGGGATTTAAGAAGTGGTCCACATTTGTTTAAAGTAAACAATAAACATGTGCATACTGACTAATGTTACTTAAATAAATGCTGCTTCCTTTTTATATATTTCTAGATAAAACAACTAAAAACCGCAGTCAATTGTTTCCTTTGTAATATAACACTTAAATGTCGCGGGCGGATGTTGACCGTGTTGACGATGGAGCGTCACTACTGCGCATGCACGGTATGGTAAATCGATCGCACATGCGCATTAAGTAACGTGGCTATAATTAGAAATCACTAAAGTTATAAATATTAGTTTCGAATATTATGAATTAAATTGTGGTCATCTATCTCTAACAGTAACAGGTTGAATTTCAAACCACGATGGTTCAAAATCCGGTATCAAAACAAACATATCCTGAAAATTTCAGCTAAATCGGTTCAGTAGTTTCCGAGTCTATAGGGGGCAAACAAACACACAAACATTGATTTGTATATATATATATATATATAGATTACTAGAATTCCTAAGCAAAAGGATTTGTCTATTAACCATGATTGTCCGAAGTTGACATTGTTCTGTTATGTATGTTGATCATCGCACCCAAATTATCACTGTTATCCTATGCCAATGTTTTGTGTTTTTTTTTTTTGTTGTTGCCTGTGCCCATTTTTTTAATTGCACCAAGCTTTCTGCTAACATTCTTTCCAATACAGAGTGGCGCTTGAAATCGCCACCATTTTTCAGTTCTGAAATAAAAAAATGTTTACTAGCCAATCTTTCTTGTGTGTCGGATGTTTTAGGGTAGAAGTATTGCTTCCTTTCTGTCCATGGTATTATGAGAATCTGTCTATAGCGTTTTAGAGAAAAATCCCATAGTTTATTCTTTATGGACTGGGAAATAATCCGCAACACCCAGTGACTTTTCCAATTTCTTCTTCATTGACTGTTATTTTCGGGTAACAGCCACTTTTGTCTGTGGGAATTTGTTTTGATTTTCTATAAATTCAAAAAAGAGGTTTTTGATCTTCGCTATGTTTTCGGACAGAAATGATTTATAATTCCTTTACATTGTTCTAAAGTAAGACTGTCACTGAATTCTTTTTTTCATGACCTATTTCTTGAGATAATAATTTGGTAGTTTTCTCCCCTTGCTTTCTAATATCCACAGTCCTTTAGACTATGTCTTCACCCATTAGCAACCTTTTAAATTGCCAGGACAACTGTGTGTCCTTTTTTTTTTTTTTTTTTTTTTGGATGTCTTAATTGAATTTGAATACAGATGTCTCTATATGATATTTTTCTTCTCCAAATTGCTTCTTTGTTTTACAATATGTCCTACTTTGTCACGATGCTCTATAAATGTGTTCATATACCAGTAAACGCATAGCATACGGCGCTGGAAAAAAAAGTATAGAAATACACAAATTATACCTTTATGCTGGCCAAAACGCCACATCCATGAAGCAAAGCAATTCCTCCAGTCAGGTATAATTGAAATTATAACGCCAACCGTTCAAGTATCTCATCATGCTAGTGAAAAATATTTCGGAAGCTGAAATATTTTGGTCATATCAAGCGCCACGACGGATTGGAACAAAATTACAGCAGAAGGCATGGTACCAGGAAGGAGAGGCAGGGGCCGACCGACACAAAGATGGGCATAGGATATAAGTGACTCCTTGAGTGTGAAAGTGCATGAGGCGGGAGAGCTGGCGAGTGACCGAGTTGCTTTTAGGCAGACCGAGATGAGAGCCACGTTCTGCAAAGGACCTGCTACATGATGATGATGAGTGAACAAATGCGTGGTTACATATACAGCTTGGGGCAAATAATGAACAATAAAATATGCTTTACACTCTGAAAAGTGCTCTTGTGACAACTGAATTGATGAGACAAGCTTACGAGGATCAATGATCATTAGATTCGACATCTGCTTTCGTCCTTGCAGCCAGACATCGATCTTCAGGTATCCGATATCTGACTTTGGCAGTGAGTTCATTATTACAAACATAAACTGGACCCCCAGACTAGTATCATCTTTTATCGTTTCCAAAAAGGTTTTAAATCGTGAATATCATCTGAATATATTTGCAGGAGATCCAAATTAATCATGATAAACCTGTCTCAACAAACAACACTTGTTTAAAACTCAGAATAGAATTTAATGTTCGCTCTTTGCACCATACTAAACTGTAACCATGCTCTCTCACTAGCTATACAAAATGGTGGGTTCCTTATCGTCTACTGACCCTGGTGGTTATAAAGTTAGGCCAAATCATGGACGAATGGTGCGTGTTTGGATGACATGCTTTGCTTCATAAATGGCTATAAAAAAATAAATGAGTCGAATTATTAAAACGATAAAATGGGTATATGTGTTTCCGATTGTCCAAATTTCCCTTTGATAGTCACCGTTTGCAAAAAAGCTCTGTAGTTAATTAGGGAAACGCAATAAAAATAATATAACACTATTTTTTTTTTATAATTTAGGCACTAGTGGTATGTTGCGACAAGATCTTATTCTGAAGCCCTAAGGTGTATTATCCGAATTCTGTAGACACACATAAAATATATAAGCGGCGTCTGTGGCTTAGGGGTTGCGAGTCCGACTCGTAATTCCAACGTACCGCTGTGGCTGTGTGGATTTTTATCATAGTATGGGGCGTCGCAGGTCGACACACATCTGGGTACCAGGATGGCTGTCCCAGGGAAGTAGAGACGTCTGGCTTAATGCTGATCACCTTACTCATCTAGTGTGGATAATCTGTAAAAATATGGGCGCTCTTCCCATATACCCTATACGCCTAAAGGCGTGAAAAGGGATCTTCACTATTCCCCCCCCCCCCCCCCCCCCCCCCACACCACTGATATGTTGCGACAAGATCTAATTTTGAAGCCCTGATGTGTATTTAACTGATTTGTATAGTCACATAACAAATACATAAGCGGCGTCCGAGGCTTAGGCGCCGACTCATAACTCCAACGTGCCGCGATAAAAACCCACTGCTTCCAGTGTAGATTTTTATCGTGGTATTGGGCGTCGCTGATCGACCCAGGATGAAATGGGTACCAGGATGTATGTCCTGAGAAAGTAACGACGGCTTGCATAATGCTGACCACATTACCCACCTAGTATCGATTGGTCTGTAAAAATATAGGTCCTCTTTCCATATGCCTGATGCGCCTAAAGCCGTGAAAATGAATCTTCACTTGTACATAGCAATTATATAAATATGCTGGTCAACATCACGCAGGATTTCCTTATTTACAGACAATATTCGGGCACCCAGTTTGTGATGTATCGATCTCAGAAATGGTTTACTTCACTATAATCCCTAAGGGGGTTTTCTCATTTGAACACGTGCCTGCAAAACAGATCGTGCAAGCCAGGTAACTGTTTTTAGATTATTTGTATTTATAAATTTATGTCTATACTTTTTTCTTTCTTGATGTCAGCCATTATGAGAAAGAAGCGACGTCTGTTCTACAGTGTGATTGGCCTGTATGGAGATGGCGTGGCCAAGTTTGAGGATATGGTCTGGAGAGAGATAGAAAGAATGTTTATGGAAATTGACGTACGCGAGGGAAAAGACACTGACCTCTCGTCAATTTTAACACGATCTCTGAAAATTATCCTCTATATATTGGTAAGTATCCATGAAAATTTCCAGGAACAGATATAGATAATGCTACTTTAAAATAAAACACTAAGGATACTCCCCGTGTAGGTTCCAGGGCTGCAAACTTTCTGCAGCTCTAAAAAAGTCATTTGCTGAAATCGGATTTGTTGGGCACAAAGACGCAGATATCGCATCCTAACCGTAAACCACAAAACAGCGTGTCTTCTGCCCTTTTAATGTCTAATGAAGAAGTAGAAGGCGAATTAAAGATACAAATAGGACACATTCTCGAATTATTAGAATCGCCATCTTACATATTTTACTAGCATCCACGTCCATTGAGCAGACTAAAGCAAAATTCCATTTGCTGAACATTTTTTTTTTTTGGAGGCATACGATGTTACTTCTATAGCTATATTTATTAATCACAATTTGACTGGTGCTAATTTCAGTTTCAAACCAATCATCCTTTCTTTCCTGACATGTCCTAGCACCAATTTTAGGCTGGACCTATTTCAGAGCCCTGGTAAATTTAAAGCACCCAGTTGAGCAAGGATTCTAAACTGTAGCAACCGGACACTTGAGTGTGATAGTTTCTGCCCTACCACCGCACTAAAATGGTTTAGTCTCATTTATTATTTGATCCCTAATATATTCTTCTTCCTTATTCAGAGTTAACCAGCCATAAACTCCAGTAGAGAGTTCTGGTTGATCGTGCACTTCCTGACTTTGGTCTTGTTCTTAAACTTTAGTTTTACGCGCAGATCCGTTTTACACCCCTGGCTTGGTAATCTTAGTTTTAGCTTCATGGTTAATCTCTCCCGGACCTTAGAAAAAAAACAACCAGAATGTCCATCACTGTCCATTATGGAATCACTAATTCTGACTGCCGTCCCATCATATCCACTAGCATATATACGCAAATAAATGCACCTCTTACTTATTTTTTTGCACACCAGCATTGCAAACACTGCCTGATGGCCTTAGGACGCTGCACTTCAATTTCGAAGGAAACTTCCTGAAATAGTCGTGTGTTTTTTTTTTTTCTTATTCTATTGAAATACTTGTTAGTGGGCACTTTGTCTATTCTTTTATCCCCCACAAAAAAGCCCTGGAATCCACCTGGGGACTGAAACTACTTCTTCATCTTCTTTCGTTTGCCTGAAATAAGTTGTCGATATCAGCAATTTTGTCTCCTGTATAAATTTCACTGTCGTTGTTAGTTTATTCAGTGGTCCATGGAGTTTTCGATCCACTGTTGTTCTTTCCAGCCAAAAGGTTTGCCTTAATGTGTCAAATCTGGTGCAGTCCTGGAGTACATGCTCTGCTGTCTGAGGCACCTTTCCACAGGTGCACATGGCTAATACGCCTATCTTGTATTGTGTGTACATGTGGTTATGTAATCGGTTGTGCCCTGTTCTGAGGCGGAGGATAATGACTTGTTATGATCTATCTGTTCATAAAAAAATAGTCGTCTTGTGCTGGGGCTGGTGGTTTCCTGATCAATTTAATGATCATTTTCTTTCGGTGGTATGTGGCAGGTACATCCGGCTGCACTTTTGTCGCTCCTTCACCTGCCAGTTGATCAGCTTTCTCATTTCCAGGCACTCTACAATGGGACGGTATCCACTGCATTACGACTCTTCGCTGACGGCTGAGCTGTGTCAGCAGTGTTTGCAATTCTGGTAGTTTCCTTGACTGGAGTGCTTTAAGTACAAATTTTTCATCTGTCATCATTTCCACATACTGTGAGCCAAGATTGGTATTTAGCAGTTTCTCTTTTGCTATCTTGATAGCCTGAGTTTCTGCATCATAGTTATGGGAGTACTTCCCGGTTGGTACGCCGGACTTATTCCTAGTATCATCTGTGAATTCTATCTACACTCCAGACTGAAAGTACTAAAATTCACAGTGAACTGTTGAGTTCGCGGTGGTTAGAAACTTCCATGACGGCCAGAAGATCTTGAACTGAACACCATCGGGGGTAAAGGCAGCTTTTGCCATGTTGACCACAATGACCCAGTGCGTGTTGATATGCGCCACTGTATGCCCAAGAAGGATCCACCAGAAAAACAGTGGGCATATGACCACAAGAAATACAAGTTCACAATGCAAACAATCAGCAGGTTACCCAGTGACATGTCGAGGTGCTGAAATGATATTCTGCAAAGGTTCTGATACATGAAAATGACTGTTTGCTGTCAGTGGTGACCAAGTAATACACGGCTAGTCGCTATACGATAGTTTAATAGTAACAGTGTCTTGAGTGTAGTCTGACCTCTACCTTTTTCTTCAGTTCTGTTATCGTCGATCAGTGCCTGATAGATCTAATTTGAATTATTATTTCATTTCGTACAACTCTTTATGGTTTCTGGGGTAAAACTGAGGCTCCCCCCCCCCCCCAAAAAAAAAAATTACAGTGTATCTGCCTGATAGGGGAGGTACCAACAGTTTGCATAAAGAAAGCCCCATCTATAAAACGAAGTGCAAGTACTGGAACAGAAATAATGCAAAGAAGAAAACAAAAATACCCAGCACTTTCCGCCGGAGTTTAGCCGGTGAACTCAAAGAAGAAAGAAGTAAGAAATGAAAAATTTACTGTTGTATCACATTGTATCATTCTGCATACAACTAATGCAACTGCGCTTATTTTTTCCCCCAGGTGCGTGGCGAGGGTCCAATTGATCCTAAAGAGCCCGAAATTTTAGAGGAATACGACATGGCGGTCAACAAACTAGCACAGGCGGACGTAGATTTTGTTTTGGATAATCTCCCATTTCTTACCCAAATTCCTGGTAAATTCAAAAGAGCTGTGACCCATGTGAAAGAGGCAAAGAAACAGGCGGATGAATTATTGTTTTATGGACCAAAGGTAGATACATATTTTTAAAGGAACTGTTTTTTATTCCCCACTGGAACATAAGTGGCAAGTTTTTATTTTATTTTAATTTCACTCTCTAATTTCCCTCTCCATAAGGGATTTGGGTTTTCTGCTTTTTATTCCTTTAACATAATGTTTCTCTATAAACACAGTCTAGTTATATTGTTATAAAATGTTCTTAGTGTGTGTCCTACTTAACGTTAGTGTCTTTTCAACACATTTTCATTTCACGAATTGTTTTAAAATTGTCCAAAGTCTGAGAATTAAAAGGAGACATTTAATACGTTTCTTTTCTGTCTTGTTTGTACATAACATAACGGGTCACATGTATTTGCTATACTTTTTTGGTTGTTGAATCTGTTGCAGTAGTATTTAGTACATAACTGCTTATAAGAATTGTATACCCAGTCTCATTTTCTTTAAATCTTGGCGTCCTTATAAAGAGAACTCACAAGCCAGGTGAACCACGAGGCATAACAGACCTACTTCTAGACTTCGCAAGACAGCCTGGTTACGAGTGGATGAAGACAGACGAACAACATATTATCGCCTTCCTTACAAGCTTGGTTGTTGCAGGTATGCACTTTACCTTGGGATAATATGCTCAGTTTTTAATGCTCTCATCAAGTCAACATCCTTACCAGCAGCCTCAGCGCTTATCATCAATTATTTGTCTTCTTGTCCGAGTCCAGCATCTCTTTATGGGAAAAATATAACACGGTGTCCGATACAGAATTTTCTCTTCTCAACAAAATATTCTCACCTCATGATGTGACACTGGAACCATCTATGTATCGAAAGTAAGGTAATATATCAATATTTTTTTCCTACATTACAAACATTTAATGTGGGCACCGTTCGTGACACTGGAGATATCCTAGTCGATAGTCCATTTCCCATCATACTCCAATCAATATGCCTCTTATAACGGCAGTAAAGGCTTCTGATCTGCTCTCTCAGCTCCATCAGATCTGGAGATAATTGGTCGGGTGGGGGGGGGGGGGAACAAAAAACTCTGTGATAAGGCCCTATTTAAAAAAAAAACAAACATATGTTGTCATGTCTGGAGACCTCAGCCTACAAAGAGGTACACACTTTTTTCAGACACTCTCTACACACAATGGACGCTGTATTAAGGTAGTGTTTGGCAATTGGAGTCCCAATTGGTTTAGCATCAAAGCCCCACGGGGTAGTCAAGAGACACTTAACATCTGCGCATCTTGCGTTCATTGAGCCTCGAGTTAGGAAACTATGAACGTATGATGCGTTTCCTGGGACTAAGAAACGACTGAACTTTTAATTCCAACTTGTTTATTTTCCCCCACACCTTTAAATTTCCAGACATTCTGTCAACAGCTGGTCGTTAAATTTCCAGACATTATGTCAATAACTGGTCGTTAAATTTCCATGCATTCTGTCAACAACCAGTCGTTAAATTTTCACACATTGTTAACAACTGGTCGACAATTTATTATGTGCAGATAACTGAGATCAACAGTTAAAGTTCGCGGAAATTTAAAGCCACGCCAGGAAGGCGGCCACAAAAAAAAAAAAAAAAACAAGATGCCGATGTGATTGTCGCTGGAGCTATGTTGTTCGTGTTTTGTGTAAGAGTCTTATAAAAGTGTAAAGCAGTCGGTGAAGAACTTTCGAAGATTAGCAGTAATCACAAACGGACATGTTATATTTTTTGTTATATAGATTACTGTTATTATGTGTATTATTAGAAGCTTGAGTCCTAGCTTGTATGTCAATCATCCGTGACGCGCTTTTGACTCACACACTCTGTTAGTCTCTTTGTAACAAATCTTATCTCGTTTAATTGTCCGGTCTGCTGTTGACTGTGTGATGGGGCTAGATTGCCGTTGATAGTTTGTTATGTCTTAAATGTCTTCTTATTTTCTGCACTCATTTGTTGTCTTTGCTTCTGAGGTTTTCTTTTTGCCTCATAAATAAAAATGATAGTTGTAATGACTCTGAAAATATCTTTGTTAACTGAGGCAAGAAGGATAGTTCTTAAATGCTATGTAAATGTGATCCGGAAATATTGATGTGAATCATGGACAATTGGTAGATTAGTGAAAAAACAGTTTGGAAGCAGCGGAGATGTGGTTCTACAGACGAATGAAAAGAATACCATCGACAGATAAAAGAGTAATAAAGATGTCTTTAAAAAAAAAAAAAACACCCAACTGACTCACGAAGAGAAACGATTGCCAACCTGAGAAAGAGAAAATCTCCATTTTGTTGTCATGTCATGATAAGGAGAAAACTGGAATGCATCGTGACAGTGGAAAAGATGGGAGGGAAGAGATGCAAAGGGCGACAAAGATAAAAGATGCTGGACAACGTGACATCATGCCATCGAGTAACATTTGTATCAGCAATCTTCGTCTTCTTCATAATGTTCACCAGCTGTATGCTCCGGCGAGAATGTTCTATCTGTTTGACTCCTTGACATTGGTCTTGTTTCTGAACTTGAGTTTTTAGGTGCACATCCGTTTTACAAATAAGTCTCATTTGTAAGTAGACTGTTCTTCGTCTCTCAGGCACTAATTAGCCACCATTCACAACATGTTTATCAGAGCGCTGTGGCTCTATTGAGTTTTTTCCCGTCCACCTAAACAGATCCAGGGAGCAAAACATTGCATTCTTGCAATAGATTCTATAGAACGAGTGAATGTAGCACCTGTTTGGTACGCGGAAAGTACGGACAAGTTTGAAAGTAACGATGAAACTATTACGCTAACACAACTGCGTGGCATATGATCAAAGCTTGTGAAGCACGTCATAGCGTCTTCTAGGTCAACGCAATAGACACTATAACAGACGTTCCATGGGAACAACTAGGAGAGGTACCTTCCAGCAGCTGCTGCGCTGGAGGATTGAGCGCACATGGAAATATCCAGTGTGCAGTGACGTCAGTTGTGATAACATATCATAACAGACTGTATTTCTTCAAGCATAAGACGATCCCAAGTATATGACGCATATATACGCATCTTGATTTTAGGAACAAAATAAAAAAAAAAAATATGATTACATGAAGTTGTTGAACTCGCGTTTTATTCACCACATAATCCAAAAAACTTCCTCAACACTGTGAAAACACTCATTCGTATGACAATGCATGACAAGGCAGATGTGGTCAAGGCCCTTCGGGAACAAGCAATGGAATCAGTAGAGAAACAAGATTATTATGGCCTGGGGAGAATGAGGCACCTGAGTGTAACTAGAGGGTATGGACGGCTCACTACACTTAGAGCAAAAGGCAAAAAGGACATTTAACCAGATTGTGACCTGTAGCATCAGTATTCTAACTCTGCACTGGCTGCTAAAGATGAGGACGGAGCACGCATGGGAATGACTCGAGTGCTGTGGTGTCAATTCAATACTCAACTTAACTTAACTCAGCTCAGCCATATGACAGCTGTTTAGGTTATCCTGGGTCTTATAAGGAGTCACTGTCTTCATATATTGCTTTATGATTTTTTTTCCGTCTGTGGCATTTGAAATGCCAGAAAGGAAATCCTTAAGAAACGAGCGAAAAAAAAAAAAAAAACAATGAACAAGAAGACAAATGCAAAAACTTTAAAATCCGTAAAGAACTTTCAACAACCATATATTCTTGGAAAATAATTGCGTCTTATACATGTGGAAATACAGTAACTCAGAGAGTTGTCTCACTCTATTATTATTGCTATTATATATGTTAATTTTGTTTTACTGATATTATTATCGCAGGCAACTTGACCACAAGATCTTCACTGACTGGCATCTTCCTGTGTCTGGTTAACTATCCCGAAGTCATCAGAACAATTCAAGGGGAAATAGATAACGTCATTGGCAGCGAACGACCTAAACTGGAGCACAGAAGCAAAATGCCCTACACAGAAGCTACCATCCTGGAAGGCTTGCGTCTCATTTCGCCAGTACCTCTTAATGCTTTCAGGAGAGCATCTGAAGATATTGACTTCGAGGGGATGGTAATCCCCAAGAACGCTCTGGTTAGACACTTACATTGTTTTCATTCAGAATTTAATAATTTGAACAGCTGTTCTGGATTACATTATCTATATGCATATATTAATAACGCATTTGTTCGTCATCATCATCAATTTCCGCTTCCGCCGTAAACCGTTGAAGGGAGGAACAGTTTGAGAACATACATGGGCAGCGATGACTAGTGTCCTTTTGTGTCGATGTAGAAGCTCTTTAATATCAACAAAACATCTTCTTCTACGGCAGAAAGGAAGCTCGTGTTGGGAAAAGAAGTCTACTTGACGTCAAAACCAAACTGAGAATTGGTTTCAGGAATGGAAGAAACAAGTTTGAAACGATCAAAAACCACCCAAATAATATCCAGAACTTTAAACTGCAAATTCTGGGAATCAATGAAAGCAGGTGGATAGGTTTTGGATAGTCCGCGACAGGTACAGGAGAACCAATATATACTCTGGAGAATGATTCCTAATAAACCTGCAAAAACAGTTCTCACTTGGACCCCAGAGGGAAAAAAAAAAAGGGGCGCCCCCCCCTCCCAAAAAAAAAAACGAAGTAAACCGAGTGCTGCATTTATGACATGGAAAACTGCACTGAAGACTGCACAGGGTAGGAAAGTCCTCTCTGAAGCCCCATGTACCACTAGGCCTAAGGATAACTGCTGATCTTCTTCTAGGGCGACCTCTTGCTTTGACTTCAGATCTTTTCATGTGTAGTGCCCACACTGGTAGTTGTTCTGACTGCATTCTTACTAGATGACCAAACCATATGATCTTTTGTTTCTCTAAGAATTTGGTGCATCGTGTTGTTCCTACAGTCTGTCTGATAATGTCGTTTCTAACTTTATCTCGGATGGTTAAGTTGGGTGCTTTTCTCAAAAATCTCATTTCACAGGTGTTAATGTTACCTAGGTTAGCCTCTATTAATGTCCATGTCTGGTACTGGTAGCACAGTGTTGGTATAAATATGCTTTTTAAAGATGCATGTGTTAATTTAAAACATGTTGAAACAAACAGTTTATTGTCTGACTTTTCTGACCTTTCGCTTCTTTCATTTTTATGTGTTCCATTTGACTACCTACCTCTCCCAGTCGACAAAGTAAACCTTTTATTTTAATATTATTTAGAAATTATATTTACTGCGTTATTTTAAAATCCATTGTGGTTGTCATAATCCCCAGTCTCTGTAAGGTTCTAAATTTATAATGTATGTTAGTCGTACAGTCATTTGTTGTAATTATGAAGCACGTTACGCTTAATGTCTAAGTGTGTTGTGTGTGAATGGCATCGCTGAAGACTTTATTATTCTTACAAATAAAACGCTTACATTTGAAACAATGTGATGTTTCGGTGATAATGTAATAAAAATAGTTACGTTAATTATACAAGATTCTTGTCTGGAAAACAATACTATTATCATTTATCTTAGCAAAAAAAAAAAAAAAATGAAACTTAGTAGAAGTATAAGCTTGTGTGTGTGTGTGTGTGTTGTGTGTTTGTATATATGTATGTATGTATGTATTTATGTATGTATGTACGTACCTTCTTATGTATGTATTATATATGAGGTTATTATGTATGTGTGTAGAAATTGTTTGTATCTATTATTCGAGCATGTATTATGTAGCGCCTATGTATGTATGTAGAGGTGTATGTGAGTGTACATGTTTGTATAAGTGTATGTATGTATGTGTACATGTATGAATGCAATATGTATGTAATTATTACGTGTGTATGTATGATGTTGAAATGTATAAGAGGGATGAGAGAGAGAGAGAGAGAGAGAGAGAGAGAGAGAGAGAGAGAGAAAGTGAATGAGTGAGTAAGTGAGTGAGTGAGTGAGTGAGTAAGTGAGTGAGTGAGTGAGTGAGTGAGTGAGTGAGTGAGTGAGTGAGTGAGTGAGTGAGTGAGTGAGTGAGTAAGTGAGTGAGTGAGTGAGTGAGTGAGTGAGTGAGTGAGTGAGTGAGTGAGTGAGTGAAGAGTGAGTGAGTGAGTGAAGAGTGAGTGAGTGAGTGAGTGAGTGAGTGAGTGAGTGAGTGAGTGAGTGAGTGAGTGAGTGAGTGAGTGAATGAGTGAGTGAGTGAGTGAGTGAGTGAGTGAGTGAGTGAATGAATGAGTGGATGAGCGAGTGAGTGGGTGAGTGAGTGAGTGAGTGAGTGAGCTAGTGAGTAAGATACATTTATTATAAGTATTATAGCGTAGGGCAAAAAAAGAAAAGAGAACGGAGATCCTGTGAGTGATCAAGCAAGAGAAAAGTGCAGAATTCTTCCATAGGATACCATCTGCTAGTCCCTGGGTATGTGATTGTTAGGGAGTGTCTTTTAAATTCTTTTTTAATGTTAATAGAACAGTTGACAGGTAACGTGCTCAAGCAACCATTATTTCAGATCTTGATTAACAGCTGGCATTTTCTCCACGACGAGAACAAATGGGAAGATCCGTGGGCATTTAACCCCAAACGTTTTCTTGACGATCAGGGGAACCTTTTACCAATTGACCACCCAAGAAGGAAAGAGTAAGGAAATATGTTGCGTCCAAACTTACTTTAGTTTCAATGACGTTTTTCATACTTCTGACTTCTATTGATCTGCGTTTGAACTGTAATTACCTCAACAAGCGATTTATATTGACGTATGTAGTACACACTATTTCATTGATTTATTACTGGTTTAAGTTTGAGTTTTACTATAATTAAAATAAGGAGAGTTGGGAGGAAAAAAGGCAGAGAGAGTCCGAGAGAAACGACCCTGGCTGTTTGACCTAATGGTATGGAGGGTCAACTGTATCAGAGCTGACTGAAAGTAAACGAGACAGAAGGTTGTGGATAAACACGACTACCAGCGCCATACAGCATGGGTTATGGAAGATCGTCTATGTCAGAACTGATTGAAGGTACATGAAACCAGAGGTTGTGGATAGACATGACCACCAACGCCACACGGCATGGACTTTACGAGGAAAACAAGATTATGTCAGTCGCTAATTGAAAGCCCCAAATAAGCACATTTTTTTTTTAAACAAGCAACTTACCATATGCATATTAGTAACGTCTTACACTCGATACTGGCCAACGCTATTCGGGTTAGCCTGGTGGATAAGGGTGTATCACAAGCTCACACGATTGCATGCCCTAGAGTAAAGCTTGGAGAAGCAGGTATATGCGCTACTGAGACCAAGAAATGTAATATAACTATCTAATCTTGAGAACAGTCAGCAGTAATTCTTTAAAGTGGTTGCTGCATCGGTAGAATGAGCACGCACATGTAGGCCCATTGCACAGTAGCTTAAACTGTGCTTACTTCACTTGATAATGTTCGTCATTTCTAGTTGCTACGCAGTCCGCTCTGTTAAATTAGCTATTTTAACTCCATCTGCTTAATATGATTAAAAAGGTAATTTCTAAAGAATAACCATGTATACGTATACTGATTTCACCTGGCAACAGATTTTGATGGGCATGGTTACAGTAAAAGCTTAGGACAGGAAGAGGTATATTACTAATAGGGAAGTTCAAATTGAACAACCATTGTATCATCGCTTCCCTTTTTACCGCTTTGGGAGAGGGGGGCAGCATAGACGAGGTACGTCGTGAGCCTGAGGATTTGGAGCCGCGTGACTCGTGCTGTCGCCACGTACTGTGCATGTTATAATGTTTGGTTATACAAACGTTAGTCTCCCTAAACAAAGCAGGTCCCATTCCATTCATAAGTTTTTTGGGCTGGTCTACCTTCCTGCAGGTTACGGATGTACGGATCTGTTGTTTGCATTTACGTTTTAATTCCGAGAAAAAGAATGCCTGTGACACAGATTTCATCACTCCCTAAAGGGGTTTTGTGTTAGACCCATTTTATCGATATTTTTGGAGTGTTAAAAGCGCTGTCGTATTAAAAAATATCACACGCGATATCAACGGCATTGCGGAACACTCCCGTAACGTTCTGGCATGGTTAGTGTGGGCTCAAGGTCGACCAATCAGAAGTGAGCTAGGCTGAAGGTCGACCAATCAGAAGTGAGCTAGTGTGTTACACTGTGTAAATGCGGAGACTAACCTTTATATTACCGAATGTTTATCTGCTCGCCCCTTACTGTGGGAGGGAAAGGGGGGGGGTCAAATTTGGGTCTCCCACATGAGAGTTCGTTGTAGTAATTGCTCTCTAGTCGCTGTAAGTTATAATTGCAAGAACAAGCGTTTATCAAATTGTTATATGATCTATAATATCTGCCACATTGTACCAATGTATAGTTTTTAACGCCTATTTCGTTTGACTTCTTTTTAGTCTGATCGCCTTTGGAGTCGGTGCACGAGCCTGCCCTGGAGAAATGTTCTCGCGCTCTAGAATGTTTCTGTTCATAACCAGTATCCTTCAACGCTACGACCTTCTGCCTCCAGCCAATGAAAGTCTGACATCTGCAGACTTTAACATTCATAGCGAAAATGTCCTGGGTCTTGTGCGGCAAACTCCTCCATTCAAATGTCGTCTTGTTCGCAGACAGAGACATTAGCATTGATTTGCGTGTAGTTACATCTGATTTTCATATACAGCATTTTGTAATAACTCATGTATTACTTTAACTTGACAATGCACCAAGACGTATCTCGACAGACTTTAGTAATATATTCGGAAAGCCAAGCTTAACAAAGACACTAAAATACCCTGCGAAACACGCAATACTTAAGTTTGTGTATAATATTCGCGTTAATAGCTAACATAACATTCATTCATTCATTCAGTAGCATGTCCCTCGCGGAACCTCGCTGCCATAACAACCCTCCGGTAAACCTTCCTATCATGAGCAAGATGTCCTGCGTCTGATACACCCATCTGGAGATCATCTGCCACATCCTGCACCCATCTTCTCCTTGGCCTTCCTCTTCCTCTCTTCCCAGGCATATACCCCTCCATTATTGTTCTCTCTAGACTTCCATGACGTTTCAAGTGACCAAAATATTTCAATTTTCTTTGTTTTATTGTCTTTACTAGCCAACCCTCTTCAATATTCAGCTCTTGAAGTATGGATGCATTTGTTCTTTTCTTTACCCAAGATATTCTTAGAACCTGTCTGTAACATTTATATTCAAATGCATTTATGCGCTGTTCCGCTTGTTTAGTAAGTGTCCAGGTCTCACAGGCGTATGTTGCAATGGGAAAGATGCATGCTCTTAAAAAACTGACCTTTGTAACATAACTTTACAGGAAGTAAATAAATACAAAAATTGTAAAGGTCTTTTCATGCCTAAGTCATATGCGGTGTATATTCTAAGCCCTTATTGTTGTATATTTATTGGCGCTAAAGGGAGGGGTGGGGTGAATTGGTCATTATAAGACTAGCTTAACTGCTACATCGGTAACCTTTTTTAGCTAGAAGAAAGTGATCCAATGTTTATTTTGCTTAGTGTTATAAAGTTTTTCATTATTAATAAGGACTTTTATGAAGACATATTCTACGATTATGTTTGATATTAGCACTACACATAAATTTAATACTGAATAAAAAGGACTGCGGGTACACAAGGGCAGCGTTCTTCAAACTAGTGGCGGCGACCAAAGGGGACCGCCCAAAATGTCTGCCTTTTCATGTGAAGGGGTCGAGTAGGTAGTTTCTCCTCTTCCAGGATTGCAGTATGTAGGATTAACACTTTAAAGATGAGAATCAACTAGGTACAGGTAACATTCAGCATTAAAAAGCAGATTTTAAAGAAATTGACTTAAAAACGTTGATTGCCATAAAAACGAAGAGCCTATCGATTTGTCTTCTGATTTCACTCTAGTGTCCAGACCTAAACTGTAATCACTGAGTTTTAGATATCACTGAAATAAAAAAGAAAGAATATCTGTCACATACCGCTCGTGTCGCATGCCTGGTTTAAGGATTTCTCCTTACAAACCAACAGCACTCTGAAATAGAATAATGTTGAGGCGTCGGCTCGTATTGGTCTAAAGGGTATCCCGTGGCCATTATACGCTCAACCTATTTCAGGAGTAGGGCAACTCAAGTTATGGCACTACAGAATATCTAATAATCCTAGGCGCAACTTGGCTGAACGCCCCCACTACTGTAAAAAGATAGCTCCCAGGCTATAATACTGTACTATCACAGCCATGTTAACACAGAAACACAGATTAAAATTAATAATCACTCAAACATAAAAGCTACACAGTTTGAAAAGTGAAAAAGGGACACCCAAGTCAGTAACGAAAACTTCTGAATGGATGTAATAAATGCAACACACACACACACACACACACACACACATATATATATATATATATATATATATATATATATATATATATATGTCAGGGACCTACTTTACTCTGTAGTATTTGATATGGCTCGCTAGGTAGGCCAGCTAACAGACTTAACTACCTAGACACACTTAAGACACACTCCTGCTGAGTACAAACATAATCTTCAATGAACAATTAACAAATAGACTTTAAACACTTCAACTGAGCTAGGCAGTTCCTATCCGAAACCCCTGGCGATGAGCAGCTTTATAATCACTGGTCAACCCACGCAGGTCCCCATGGATCTACAAGGAGCACGACTCCTAGTTGACAGTTTATCAGTGCTAATAAGGCCGCCGTCTATTGCCACACGGGACTCAGCGATACACGTAGGGTGTATGGCCTAAGCGTGACTGGGCAGTGTTATCGCCATAACAATGCGCGTCACAACTTTACTAACTGCTCAGACAAATACTACATGGAATGTCTACTACACAAAGAACATTAACTCTATACTATCTAGTCCAAACATTAAATAGAAACTCAGCCTATCATAGATGCTACACACAAAGATCCTATTCCAACTAACCGTCACTAAACCTAATTTTATCTAGTCAAAGCGTTCCGTCTTGTTGTCTCGTCCCGTCTCAGTACATGACTCCCCCTCAATCAGCTCGGACAAAGCTTTTTGTTTCGGGCCCGAGTTCACGGCTCAACACGCATTAATCCGTTTCACCTGTGTGAACTAGGCTTGGTCCGTTAACTGGACCCAGTTTATTCCGTGGTCAAGCTGTCCGCTCTTATACTGAGTTGTACCGAAGGTCAACTCGTTCATACGTGATGATTCACTATCATCAGAGTTGGTCCTGGCCTCTGACTATATTATATATATTATATATATATATATATATATATATATATATATATATAAACTGACTCTGGCTGATTCAGCAGTGCCTTCTAGACTTTTTTTTGCATATATATATATATATATATATTATATATATATATATATATATATATATATATATATATATATATATATATATATCATTATCAAGACAATCTAAGATGTTCACAGGTCATAGGCGCTTATGCAAAAAAAAGTCAAGAAGGCACTGCTGAATCAGCCAGAGTCAGTTTTTGAGAATATCAGTGAACATCCTCGTGACTCTAGGTGGACCTGTAAAAAGAGCATGTGGTATGTCATCTCAGATGTTACTTATCAGTTTGGTAGGTCACTGCTTTCCTCAGTCCATGGTGATCTGAGCCGGCTGACTTAGTAGACTGCTTCTCTTCTGGTTACTCTTGCAAACACTGACAGAGTTCATGTACTGGAACTAAGTGATTATGCTGGAGCTCAACAAAGCTCATGAAGAAGGATTCCTTGGAGTGATGACACTGGGTGGCCTGCAAACAATGCCTCTTAGCCACTGGAACTCACACAAGCTCCTGTCATGTTGAAGTTATGGTGATAGTAGGTACTATTGGTGGATGGAGGTTGGTTGGACTAAATCGTTTGCTTGACCTCCAGGGAGGTATCATCCTGTGTCAGGGAGGATCTTAGAATTAGTTTTCATCTTAGGAGTCACATACCAAGCTCAATTTATTTCCCTCCACCCTTCTCTGTCACTCAGAGGATAGCTCTCAGGAAAATGAGACAGTTCCCTCTTCATTTATCTCTGTCTATCAGTCAATACAAGAGATAGGAGACACGGTCCATAGTGGAGATAGATAGACACTAATACACATAGATCATTCTCTCTCCACCTTCCCATCCGCACTTGCAGACACACTTTCTAACTCGCTCTTACATTTTTTATACCTCCGCAATCTGCCCACCGCACACACTATGTTGTTGTGTCTGCTAAAAATAACATCTGACGTCACAGCGTCTTGTCTGCTGTTGTGTGATCCAGTTAAATATTTCGGCTAATCGACCCGAACTCTGTCGGTTCGTTAAAGAATAATTAGCTTGCTAGATTTAAAATATTTACATTAATATTGGATCAGGTAGGGTACAAACTATCAGCTTGTGAAGGGAAAGGTTTGTTTCAGGAGCTATGTGTTCCTGGCCACCAAAAATAGCCTAGTTCTGTGCTGTCTCATAGCTGAATCTTTCCTCCCTGCAGCAGCGTCTAACTTGATAGAGACATATATCATAATACTCGTAAACTATAATCAACTTACCCAAGCTTAGGAATCCTTCAAAGATTACCTAGTATTTTGAATGCGCCAAGATTAAATCAGAGAGGTGAAATGCTTCTGTACACCTAGGAAGTCTGGCAAAGAATGATCCGTCTGATCTCGCTTGGCGTCTTTAGAAAGACGTCCTGTATTAGTACGTCAAGGAGTAAAAAGGCTTCCATGAATTCTGAATATTAATCCAGAAAATATGTATCCCACAGTTTTAAGTTTGAAAATGAAGACTTTTCAAAACAACTAGAGGGTATAGAAATATCTATTCCACCAGATAGAGGTTTAAATCGATATGAGGGACTATATACCCACCGGACGGGTCTAGATTTGAAATGTGACCTGCCCGCTCGGGGCGCCAACGTCACGAATAGTCTAATGTGCAGGGTTTGGTTGATTCACTCCACGACAATATCTATGTCTTAATTACAGAAATATGAGATTTTTTTTTTTTTTGACCTGTTATTTATATGAAAAGCCAATAAGGTAACTATAACAAACATAGTAGTTAGTTGCGTATCCTTTACAGGAAGTTGAAGAACCAACCCCAAAAGCCCGTGACTGATGTGCGGTTTTTCTAGGCAAATTTACGCCCAGTAGTTTGCCATTGGTTTCTGGACGATCGACTTTCTTGATACCGCTGTCAAAACCAACGCAAGGCACATGGCCCGCAGCTGAGATCATAACCGGCATCCCGGCATTACGAAGCGTTTGCATGGACTTAGCCACAGAGCCGACAACAAACATAGATCAAAAATGTTATCGGAGCGCTTCATTTACCAAAATTAACGCTTTAGACACAAATATCAGATTTTCTTACCTCTAAGCAGCAACAGATGTCACATTACATGAAAACTGTAATTTTGTGACATCGGATTTATCAAGAAATCTGCCATTTTTTTTCCCCCCATTTTTTGTTAACTGTCAAATGGGCTGCGAAACAATCTTTCCTGTTTTGGTTATGCCGCGGGTCTAAAAGGGTTGAAAAACACTGCACTAGGATCAAGCCCAGTGTTTATTCGCATGGTGTTATCTGATTACATCTTGTTGGAAATTTACCCGGGATGTCTAATAATTTACTCGTTGGATAACTTTCAAGATTTGGTTGTGTGTGCCACTAGAGAATCAAAACTAGAGATTGCAGCTAGAAAGTAGAAAGTCAGTGCTACGAATTCTTACATGTATATAATATTACATTTTTTGTGGTATGTGTGTGTGTGTGTGTGTGTGTGTGTGTGTTTTAAAACTGTTTCAGTGCCAAACAACGCATCATGCGTGACTGGATTTACTTTTTTACACCAGTTCACACTCAACAACACAAGTGATGTGTATTTGGGCCATGTAGTATACCCATTATTATGTTGATTTCACTGGAGCAATAACCGTGACATTCTGGAATGTCAAGATCTAAATTGTGCGCTTCTTTTGGTGTGTAAACGATTTATCTCCTCAAATCATTAAAATATATTTGGATAACAGTAAAAGACGTGTCAGTTCCTGATTATTTTACTGCTGACTTAAACGTTCCACGCTTGTGTGCGGATCGGGAGGTCGTGGGTTCGCCTAATGGCGAAGCCGGACTTTTTTTTTTTTAATGACCTTGACTCCCAGGTCGACTCAGCCTTGAGTGGGTACCGGGTGCAGTCGCGGGAAGTAAAGGTGGCCGGCATGACGCTGACCACATCACCCATTATGGACCGATTGGTCTATAAAAATGTAGGTCTAGCCCTATATGCCCTATACGCCTAATGGCGTGGAAAAGGGACCTTTTATACGTTCCATTAACGGTGGTTGTGAGTGTCGTTTGTTGTAACTATCTCGAATAGAAAATGAAATGTTATTCCAACATGAATATCTCTTGCAGCTAGCATTTAGAAACAAACTTCGTGCATAACAATAATAATGTAATATTTTACTCTTACACACTAAACTCTGCAGCAGTATATAAGAACAGTGTTTTTATCTTCACTTATTTAATCAGCATATTACCCCATTCGTTACCTTACAAAAAAGCTGTTTATTGAGAGGTGAGGGATCTGTATGGTAAATAGTTAAGGCCTTTGTGCAGCAGGCTCCAAAGACTGAGAGCTTGGTTTCCACTCCCTGCTTGTTTCGAGAATGCAGCTGATTCTGAGATTTTCAGATGACATCGCTAAGTAAACGTAGTTTCGCGAGATTTGTGCCACGCTCAAATTTGGCAACCAGGCGCTCTAATGTGAATGAATTTAGTTCCAAGGTATCTCGATATACAACAGTGAAGTTAAGCAGACATGTGCAGAGCTTGACGATTCCTTGGGTGAGCCAAGCACCAGAGCGCAATGTATAGTCTCTGCACTAATGGAAGTCTATATGGATCGTAGAGAATATTCGTGTTTCCCACTGCCTCTGCAAGCACTGACTTGGACAGTCCTCTAAAGACAATAGGAGATGAGGAAGTCGTCACAAAACGAGGCTGTAAAATACTAACCAGGAAGGCTTAATCGGGGAGAGAGAGAGAGGGGGGGGGCGGAGGGAGGGGGACAAATGCCCGAAAAGACAGATGTCCTCAAAGACACAAATATTACAGACGCAGTACATTGGCGTAACTTAGGTAAACCATGAAGAGGAAAATTACTTGGTAAGAGAACATTCATTCATGGACAGAGGGACCACTTGGTTTCCTGGCATTATTTATGGGAGTTGTTGAGGGAAAAGGTGGGGGAAAATGTTAGGGGGATTGGGCGGCATGAGCTCTCAAGTTCTGGCGCATAAACTTTTTTGTAGTCGACCAGGGCGTCCTATTTACTAAAAATACAAGCTGGCACGATGAAGCATATTACCACTCATGGATACATTTCAAAACAGTTTCCCTGTTTATGCACCAGCTGTTATCAACAGTGTTGTCTTTCACAGGTAAGACCGACCTTATTCCTAGTCTTCTTATTTGCAGTATACGTGCGTCGGAATGATATTTCGTTGCCTAACAAAGCAAAACAAAATCTGTTAAAACTTACTAAATTAAACACAGCTAGTAGAGGATTTGTAGTGTTTTAGGCCACCGAAATGGATGTGCCGTCATTATTTCTGTCAGTTCAGGGAATACTGATTCTCACTATTTCACTGCTCTTTGGGTTCTATTTCCTGTTTTGGATCGTCCGTCGGTCACCCAAGAATTTACCGCCAGGTCCCCGAGATTGGGGAACCAATTGGATTATGCTCAAGGCATCTTGGAATGGTACTCTTCACATACTGGCTGGTGAATGGGCCTTGAAGTATAAAGAGATAACACTTGTGAATAGTTTTGGAATGCCAGTTGTATTTTTGAATACTGCAGAGATCACAAGAAAGTTACTGGCCTCCGAAAAGTATAAATTTCTCGTCGCCGACAGATTTCCTAATGCAGCAGCCAGAATTGTTGAGTTCAACGGAAGAGATTTAATATTTTCTAAGTTTGATGGTAAGTTAAACACCCATTTGCTACATAAATCGTCTCCTTGTGGGATGCATTTTTTTGTGTGATTTTGAAGCCCCACTCTGGCTGTTGCCGAGGGGCCCGAATTTAACCTAACGGTTAGACGGGGTTTTCGGGACCTCTCCACGGGTGATCCTCATCCCCGTGGTGGCACTTTGTGTTACCGGGTGTTTATCGCTCTGTGTGATATCCTAGTGGGGTAAAATGTATCGACTTTACACGAATTTGTTTGCTGCTATCGTTTTATAGTGCGTGAAGATTTTCTGGTGAGGAATACTTTAAAAAAACACATTTGTTCTTACACTATTTGTGTATTGATTATGTTTATAAATACCATTTCTTTGCGAACAAGCAACGGAATAAATAGAGAAAAAAGATTATTTTGACCTGGAGAGAATGGGGCACCTGGGTGTAACAAGAGGGTCTGGTAGGCTCACTCCACTCAGAGGAAATGCAAGACGGACATATAACCAGATTGTGTTTTGGAACTCTGCGCTGGCTGCTGAAGATGGGGACGTCGCATGCATGGGAATGCCCCAAGTGCTGTAATGTCAATTCTTGACTCAACTCAACTCATAAAAACCATTGTAGCCACCCACAAATACCAATAGATAATGAACAGTACCACACTGAGGCTAATCTAAAAGTATTACAGTTTTTTGGATAAGAAAAAACAAACAGTGCTATTCGTGACGTTCTTTACTCTTCAGAATATAAAATAGAACTTCGACGAACCGTTACTGTCCGGACTAGGACTGTGACGAATAAACAAAAAGACGAATAACAGAAGTTCCTTAGCACATATGTACAGCAATGTGATTTCACTGCAGGATATGGCGAAAATGAAAATAAAAATACTTTACACTTGAATAATACTGTCTTTAAATTTAGAAAATGATCAGTAGAAACTTCAATGTAAGAGTAGTAATGTACATAAAAGTATTGTAATACTTTAAAACTACTTTACTTTAAAAAAAAATGTCATCTCTCTAAGGTTCGACCTTTTTTGCACTGCGATGTTCGTATCTTATGCACAGGTAGGATTTATTCTTGCCTCTGCCTCCTACTGCATTTCAAATCAGTTGATGCCAGAAACAATATCAGGATCGCTCAAAAATTCCAAGCCTCCATCCATTTTCTCACATTTCAGCCGATATGTGATTTCTTCTGGGGTAATATTTTCCCTGTTTAGTCCCACATTATGTCTCTAACATTACCAGTCTCAGTTCCCTCAGCTTAGTCAATAGGTTCAAGCAGGAATCTATTCTACCCATCCTTTATGTTAGACGGTGTAAAGGAAACCCAGAAAATGGCGACATTGTTGTATCTCTTCCATTATTATCCGACATTCATGGTATTACCAGAATCAAGCAAGCCTTCGATCAAAGCTTTCTGTGGCGTTGCTTCATCTGTGGACAATTTTACCGATGTTTGTTTCCTGATACGAATTACTCTTAGACATTAACGGATAACACAAACTAAGGGTTAAACTAGTGATGATTTATCCAAGTATTACTGTATTTTCAAACAGTTGGCACCCTGTTTAAAAACCATAACACCACATGTTGTCTGAAGCGTTTGTTTTTTAAACTAGCACATTTTCATCTTTCTGTACCATAATGTTACAATATGCTACAGGGAACATGCATAAAAAACATGCTACATAGGAAATATGCTACAGGGAAACATGCCACATAAGACACATGCTACAGGGAAACATGCTACACAGAAAATATGCTACACAGAAAACATGCTACAGATAAAACATTCTACAAAGAAAACATGCTACACAGGAAACATGCTACATATGAAACATGCTACATAGGAAACATGCTACACTGGAAACATGCCACATAGGAAACATGCTACATAGAAAATATGCTACATAGAAAACATTTTACACAGAAAATATGCTACATAGGAAACATGCTTCATAGGAAACATGCTACATAAGAAAATGCTGCATGAGAAACATGCTACATTTGAAACATGCTACATAGGAAACATGCTACAGGCTAACATGCTACATAAGAAACATGCTACATAGTAAAAATGCTACAAAGAAACATGCTACACAAGAAAAATGCTACACAGGAAACATGCTACATAAAAAACATGCTAAGGAAAACATGCTACATAAGAAACATGCTACAGGGAAACATGTTACATAGGAAACATGCTACATAGAAAACATGATACATAGAAAACATGCTACATAGAAAACATTCTACATAAAAAAACATTTTACATAGGAAACATGCTACATAGAAAAAAGGCTACATAGGAAACATGCTATACAAGAAACACGCTACATAGGAAACATGCTACATAGGAAACATGCTACACAGAAAATATGCTACATAGGAAAAATGCTACATAGGAAACATGCTACACAGGAAACATGCTACACAGGAAACATGCTACATAAGAAACATGCTACATAAGAAACATGCTACATAGGAAAAATGCTACATAGGAAACATGCTACACAGGAAACATGCTACATAGGAAACATGCTACATAAGAAACATGCTACATAAGAAACATGCTACATAGGAAACATGCTACATAGGAAACATGCTACAGGCTAACATGCTACATAAGAAACATGCTACATAGTAAAAATGCTACAAAGAAACATGCTACACAAGAAAAATGCTACACAGGAAACATGCTACATAAAAAACATGCTAAGGAAAACATGCTACATAAGAAACATGCTACAGGGAAACATGTTACATAGGAAACATGCTACATAGAAAACATGATACATAGAAAACATGCTACATAGAAAACATTCTACATAAAAAAACATTTTACATAGGAAACATGCTACATAGAAAAAAGGCTACATAGGAAACATGCTATACAAGAAACACGCTACATAGGAAACATGCTACATAGGAAACATGCTACACAGAAAATATGCTACATAGGAAAAATGCTACATAGGAAACATGCTACACAGGAAACATGCTACACAGGAAACATGCTACATAAGAAACATGCTACATAAGAAACATGCTACATAGGAAAAATGCTACATAGGAAACATGCTACACAGGAAACATGCTACACAGGAAACATGCTACAAAGGAAACATGCTACATAGAAAACATGCTACATAGGAAACATGCTACATAGGAAACATGCTACATATGAAACATGCTACATAGAAAACATGCTACAGGCAAACATGCTACATAGGAAACAAACTACATAAGAAACATGCTACTGGGAAACATGCTACACAGGAAATATGCTACATAGAAAACATGCTACACAGAAAACATGCTACACATGAAATATGCTACATAGGAAACATGCTACATAAGAAACATGCTACATAGGAAACATGCTACATAGGAAACATGCTACATAAGAAAGATGCTACATAAGAAAGATGCTACATAAGAAACATACTACATAAGAAACATGCTACATAAGAAACATGCTACATAAGAAACATGCTACATGAGAAACATGCTACATATGAAACATGCTACATAGAAAACATGCTACAGGCAAACATGCTACATAGGAAACAAGCTACATAAGAAACATGCTACACAGGAAATATGCTACAGAGGAACATGCTACACAGAAAACATGCTACATAGGAAACATGCTACAGACAAACATGCTCCATAAGAAACATGATACAGAGAAACATGCTACATACGAAACATGCTACAGACAAACCTGCTACATAGGAAACATGCTACATAAGAAACAGGCTACATAAGAAAAATGCTACAGGGAAACATGCTACAGGGAAACATGCTACATAAGAAACATGTTACACAGGAAACATGCTACATAGAAAAACATGACCTTCAACCTCACAAGGACCGCACGACCAGGAGTTACTACCCAGCGACACAAGGTGTCACTATACGGATGAGAAACGCCAGGCGCAAGTCCCAGAAACCCCGTTTAACCGTTTGGTTTCATGAGCGCTTCTCATGATGGGTGTGGGTGTGCGTGTGCCTGTGAGTCTGTGTGTGTGTGTGTGTGCATGTGTGTGTGTGAGTGTGTGTGTGTGAGAGTGTGTGTGTGAGTGTGTGTGTGCATGTGTGTGTGAGTGAGTGTGTGTGAGTGTGTGTGTGTGTGTGTGTGTGTGTGCCAGTGTGTGTGTGTGTGTGCCAGTGTATGTGTGTGTGGGTGTGTGTGTGCCAAACATTTTACGCCTGATTTTGGCTATATCAATAGTGTTAAACCCAAATATTTTTAATATTTTATCTGTAGCTGCACTTCTTCTTCTTCTTCAGCATTCTGAGCCCTTGTGGTTCATTGCAGATATCACCCGCCTCCACTCATCTCTCTGGTAGTCTTATCTTTCAGTTGGTGACACCAAGTGTTTTCAGGTTTATCTGGACGTTATCTCTCTAACGTCTTATTGGTTTGCCTGGTGGTCTAGGACCATTCAGCTCCCTTGTGTATACAGTTTTTACCTCTCTGTCATCTGACATTCTCTTAATATATCCCAGCAATTCCAGTATATTAGCTCTTATGATACCAGTGTTTAGTTGTGATTTAAACAGATTGCGAATTTCGTTGTGGCTGCTCTAGTTTCTGAGATACCGCAATGTGTGTATTTAAATAATATTAATACAATATGTTTTGTATAAGGTTCTGGGGAGAAGAGGGGCGGGGCGGGGCCGCATGGGGAAAAAAAGAGGGGGGGGGAAGGACTGCAGTCTAGTGCCTTATAAAATGAATCTCTCTGTTACTTTCAGTTTACTCTCCAAGAATGACATTTTTTTTTTTCAATTATATATTTTAAAACGGTATATTCATGCTATTTTCTCACATTTCTAGCGTCTAATATCATTGTTTTCAAGAAGATCATGTTTTTCTTTCAAAAGATTTATTTTGTTATATTTGTGGAATGTACTTTTTAAAAGATGAACATATGAAGTATATTACTCTTTTGTGAAAAAGTCATTACTTACTTTAAAGCAAATTTAGGTGAGAAGAACAGGTTTTGGACTGCAAGACATGTGTTGAAAACCTGCAACAGTAGACTGGTGGGATCAGAAAATGTTTTAAAATTTAGAATTCCAATTGTTTGGTGAGGAAGTCTCCTTAGCTTGGGGCTCTACGCCTGCCTGCGAATCGGACGGATGTGGGTTCCCGTCCTGACGTAACCGGACTTTTTTCAAAAATGACCTTGACTCCCAGATCGACCCAGCTTCGAGTGGGTGTCAGGTGCAGTCCTGGAAAGTGAAGGCGGCTGGTATGATGCTGACCACATCACCCACAGAGTGCTGATTGGTCTATAAACATATAGGTATAGACCTATATTTCCAATATTCTTAAAGGGGCAGTAATAAAGACCTTTTAAGGAAGTCCTTGAAAAAGAAAAGGTTTCTTTGTGTTAACTATTGCTAAACAAATACAAGCTGCGAGAACAAACATGATAACATTATTAGAATCATCAACACATAATTAACAAAGTCTAGCATTACAATTTGTGGCATTTAAAATGTGTGTATGTGAGTATTATTGCTATTTATGAACGTAATTAAACCTTGTTTCGTCTTCACATCAGCCATTATGAAAAAGAAGCGACGACTGTTCTACAACGTGATAGGCCTTTATGGGAATGGCGTTGCCAAGTTTGAGGATGTTGTTTGGTGAGAAATCGAAAGAATGTTCACAGACATCGACTTATGCGAGGGAAAAGACACTGATCTCACATCCATTTTAACTCGATCTCTGAAAGTTATCATCTACATATTGGTAAGTAAAGTAAGTGACATGTTTCTTTATTATCGGGGGGTACTGGCTCAAAACTCTTCCTCAAAAGTTAGTTTTTGTGGTAAATTTAACGTCGGCTGTATTTATTAGACAGTTTTAATATACATCTCTTGATGTGGTCAATATAACGTCGACTGTATTTATTATCCAGTTTTAATATACATATCTTGATGTGGTTAATATAAAGTCAACTGTGTTTATTGTCCAATTGTAATATACATATCAATAGGAACTCGAAAACATGACAATCCAGTTTAGGCTGAATACAGAAATAATTTTATGTATATTCTGTCCTGCATTTTGAGTGGAAATATTGAGCGCAAGTAACAGGTTTTTCCCTATTCAGCATACGAAACATCTGGTGTATATAGTGATTAACACAACTCAGCGTAAGTGTGTTTGTGCGTTTGAAACGTTTTTGTAATCCAATATGATGCACAGCTAGGCATGCGAATACATTGGTGTCCATAGAAGTGAGTCAGACCTTACTCAGTTTTACTGCAGCAAACATCAGATGAGGACAAGCTGTCCGAAACGTTTAAACGCAATCCTTTTATACGAGAGACCCAGGTTTAAATCTTCGGTAAGGTTGTGGAAAGTGAAAGGGGGTGGGGGAGGTGGTGTTTCTTTTTGGAGCACACACAAAACATCCCAACATCTGATCCAAAAGCACTAATCCTTGATACCCCCTTTAACTTCCTGAAAAGTTAAAGTTAGGAAGTGTGAAATCTAGTTTGATATATTCACCTTGTACGCAACAGCTTTATTCTTCCCCCCCCCCCTTTTTTTTTCCCTCCAGCGAACAGACACTATATGTTTCTGTTTGCTCGAGAAAGAACTGCCGTGCTCAACACAAAGTAATATGCTATCTATAACTTACATAACATGCCCACTATAACAATATTTTTCGCACATAATCTGTAGCATGTTCTGTATATGGTTATTTCTCAATACAACAAAATCAGAATAACTTTATCACACAGTTGATCTTGATAAGTAATCTAAAGGTTAAAAAAAAGGTAAAGTCGGAAGATGTGAACCAGCGGCATTGCACACGGTTATAAACCATAAGTGCTCTGCCACCAGTACGGACAGCTGATAAGAATTGTCCGCCTGTGTCGCCGTCCGCACGTAACACTGTAGCTACAGCAACGTTCCTCCATTTACTCCAGAGTGTCAACTCTGGTGCCCAATTCATAGAGGCTGGGTGAACTCAGGAAACTGCCCGGTTTCGAACACCGACAGGGGGCAGCAGCGAGTCGCAGCTAGATTTGAAAGCAAGCCTCTTATCGACTGCGTTAACGAGACTCCCAAATCTATGATGACGTTATCTTTCCCTCAGACATAGTGCATAGTGAAGTGGTACCGCTGCAATATCAGTGCCCATCTAAGAACCCTAGCAATCTTCTCCGCTGCGGAACACAATGCTGCAACGACTGGTGGTCAGTGAAGATAGTAAAATGGTTCCCATTAGGGAACTTTGAGAGCCTGCTGACCCCAAATATTATGGCCAGGCATTGTCGTTCCATCAAACTGTAGCAAGTCTTCGCTAGGGACAACGTCCTACTGGCATACAGGACTCAATTCAAGCTACCTCGGAACTCCTGTACAAGGACACAAGCCACTCCCACATAAAATACAAAAGGGTACATTTAAATTAGGTAAACGCAACAATGGAAAATGATTGAATGCACTTTGTAATCTTCTCAAGTACTCAACACATTGTTCGTTCCACCATATCTTGTCTGGCATCTCCTTTTTAGTCAAGTCAGATAACACATACGTGATAATGGCATAATGAAAAATGAATTTAGCGTTAAAATCTCAATCCCAGCAATGCCCTAACTTGCTTTTTGGTTTGAGGGATAGGCAGGTTCAAACATTTGTGTACAGTGGATTGAGGGTGTTTTCTGGCCCGTCTGCCTACGACATGACCTAGAAACGTCACTTCCTCTACAGCAACCTCTATTTTGATTGGTCTGACTGTCAATCCAAATGACCGGATGCGCTTCAATAAGGTTGTCAACGCTTGTATATGTTCTTCGATGTCTTCGCGAAACAAGAGAATGCGATCCAAAAAATGGATGATATCACTACGATCCCCAACTAATCTCCTCGCCATAATTCTGAAAATGGCAGTCGCATTACAAAGCCCAAAAGTAAGAGACCAGAAGTGACTTAAACCTTTAGCGGCCTTGAAAGTAGTATATTTTTAGTTTCCTCCGCTAATGGTATCTGCCAAAAACCCTTTGTTAAGTCTAGTTTTGTAAAATATTTGGCTGTAGCTAAAGAATTAAATAGGTCTTTCATTTTCGGTATCATTTCTGCGTCTACTGCTGTGATGCGGTTGAGTCGCCTTAAGTCGGTGCAGATCCTTAAAGTTCCGTCTCTCTTCTTCACAGCTACTATAGGAAAACAATAGGCGGACTTTGATGGTTAGTTACTCTCAGCCGAGTTATCTCATCAATCTCTTTGTCTATTTGAGATTGATAGTGAAGGGATGTGGGATATGGCTTAAGCTTCATGGGTTGATTATCAGTTAACTCAGCGGAGTGGACTGTTTCCGTGGTGACACCAGATATGTCAGGTAAAATGTCTTCGAATGTGGCCAGCATTTTAAGAATCTGACTCCGTTTCTCTCCTGGTAGGGCATAGGATACATTTACATCCTTCCAGGACACCTTGGGTACCACTGGTAACAATTTCATCTCTGATGGAACGTAACATTATCCTTCACCATACTTTCCTCCACAACAATCTATTAAACGTGTATCAGCAAAGCCGATATCTAGCATATAATCTGATGCCTGTAAACTTTTAGAACGTTGACTATTCATTTTTACAACTGCCAGCATTCTAGAACCATTGATATGTGGAAGAAAGAAATATTGTCTGATGACTGGATTGATGAAATAATAGTCCAAATCGAGGTCCTTGATTTTTCAGATAATATAGCACCCCTAGCATATAAACATGAACACATAGAAGAGAAAAGTATCAGATTGCACAGCACAGTAGAAAATGTTGAAGCTGAGAATTAATACAAGGAAAACTAGGAATATGACAAACAGTTCAAATCAACAACCAGAAACTATAAATAACCATACTCTTGAAAGTGTAGGACAGTTCACACATCTTGGAATAGTGGTATCACTACTGTGAGAGACAGAAGAAGACATACAATCACGCTTGAACAAAGCTTTAGCATCTTTTGGAAGGATGAGGCGAATCTGGAAATCCAACAGTTACTGTAGATGAGCAAAACTCCGACTCTACAAGAGCATTATTTTGCCAGTTCCCCTTTATGGAGAAGAATGCTGTAGAATGACCAAAAGTAGACTCATTAAATTGTACTTGCATCAATACTAATTTTAATATTTGAAGAGAAACTAAATTCATTCTGTTTATTTTGTATTATGAGATCAGAATCGTTTTTATTGTATTTCTTTTACAACGCATGCGTAAAGTATTGTTATATGGTTAAAACAAAAGTTAGGTACTTCCATACGGTTCGGCATACAGTCATCAACATTATATTAATTATAATGTGGAACATAGGAACGTTTTCAAACAACTAGTTTCCTAGCAGCTTTAGAAAGCAATTAGATTCTAGCACCGAGGTTCCATTGCACTATTTTTACAGAAGTTTCATCACGTGGTATACGTCTAATTCACCTGTGCTCGTTTTTCCAAGGTAACTGGTGAACTTCCAGTTGATCCTTCAGCTCCAGATATGTTAGAAGAATATGACCTGGCCTTCAACAAACTGGCTACGCCAGACGTAGATTTTGTTTTGGATAATCTCCCATTTCTCACCAAGATTCCAGGAAAATTCAAGAGAGCTGTAGACCGTGCGAAGGAAGCCAAGAAAAAGGCGGACGAATTACTGTACTACAGACAAAAGGTAGAATGATTTTTTTTCCACATTATGTGTACTGCGTTTATTATCTATTTCAACCGATTACACGTGTTATGCAGGGGTCACTACAGGAAAATTTTTTTTTATTAATTACAATGTTAGACCAATTATTTTATAATCGTCATTTGTAGGGATGTATGTTGCTACATTTTTACACTTCAAGTTTAAACAACAGCCGCCATCTTGATGAAAAAACGACATGTACTTAGACAGCTAAAATTAAAAAAACAAAAGAAGGTATTGAGAAAGAGATGATTGATTCATGAACTTTAAACCTACGTTTAGGGTCATGACTAGTTTATTTACTTCAAAGATGTTTCTTAATATTTGTTTTAGAATATTAAAATTTAGGTATGTTGAAAAAATACAAAAATGTAGCTTTTTAAGATAATAATCAAATTAAAAAAGAAATACCTAATAAACTATACTTTTAAATAGTCATGACCCTATAAATTTGTGTTAGGAGTATCCACACCAAATTTCACGTCTCCTGTCTGTATATTAGCCGAGATTTTAGGAGATCCCACACACAACTAACAGAAAAACAGAATTGTTAGAAAAATGACTTTTAAACATTTAAAGTCACTTAAAATATAATTAATAAAGAAATAAAGTGTTCTTACCCTGTCTGTTGTATTCTGCATCATATCCACATAAAATGTCACATAAATTTAACAATTAAATCCACCAGCAACATAGGTTTTGCCTTCTGTTACATCATGATGGTGTTCTTGTTCGAGTCGCATTTTTTCTGGTTTTTCCTCTTCCACTTCGAAAGACTTAACGTTTGTTTTTTCGAATCATAATACTTTCTCTTCAGCATTCTTGTAGCATACAAGTTGTTTGTAAGTCCCCATTCCAGTCCCATTTTGTCAAATACCATTTTCAGGCCTATAGGACCACAGTTGAAAGACAGAGTGGCAAGGGAAGTTGCTGTCTCCACTGCTGACATCGAAGCAAATGTTGTTTTAGGACAGCGCCGCCAAATCAATGCATTAAAGCTTTCATTGGCATTCTGAGTGCTAATTTTAGCACAGCGTTGAAGAAGATCTGGGTCTGTCAACCTTTTCACAACAGGGTAGATGATGCTGCCAACTTGCGAGGAAAATGTTGGCCTATGTTTCTGGTGCAAACCTGTCTTCATGGCTCTCTGGAAGTGACACAAGAATTTTCACCCTCTGGACAGAGTCTTTGGTTGGGTGCCTTGTCAGTGCTCATCATGTGGAAGAATCCACCTAACACTCCCTGCTTCATTTTCTTCACATCAGGGGCATTGTCTTTTAAATTTTTAGCATAAGTGTTAGTAATTTTTTTCAATAATGGACTTTGTAAGTTTGCGATTTAGCAACTGCTTATTGCTTTTTTTCAAATTCTCAAGGCCATTAAACATTCATGTTGCAATGTGGTTAATGCAGTCTTCTTTTGTTATGTCAATGTCATAGCATTTAGAATTTTGCACTTCATTAAAAGCCTTTGCATCACCGTCACAGAGCATAGTGCCTTAAACCAGACTTCTTTTCTCAACTGATCTTGAAAATATCATCCTCGCTGCCACCGTCCCCATGGCATTTGAAGAAAAATCTGCATTCTTCTGACATTCAGATTTATGCCTTTCCATCCAGTTTAGAAATTCAGGTGAACTTGGCTTTGGACCACTAGCACACATTTTGCAATAATTGCTGATGACCTGCGTATCCAGAACGAGACCACTTTCAACATCAATGGCAACCCCGACTCCATTGTGCGATGAATGGCCTTGCTTCTGCCATGTGCCATCGTATGATACAGTGATGATGGGGCACCCTGTGTCACTGGCTTTGTCTGGTTGGTGAACTGCAGTTGCTGATCTTTCTGCAACAACAGAAGCTGCTCGGCACATCGCTTCCTCTGCTGCTTTCCTGGCTGCAAGGCTCACACTTTTTGCTAATGTATAATATGTTGTTTGAGGCATCTGATTTTCAATATTCATGACAGAAAGAAAAGAATTCAACTTAACATAGCCAATGCCATTGTCTTTACACCCAATGACTGCCCTATAGTTGATGTCATACTGTTTGTCAATTTGTGGAGATGTCCAGTCTGACCACTGTGACTCACAGTCTGGACAGCAAATTTCTATAAGGGAGGTCAGACCATTTGTCTTTTTCGTAACCAGTTGTAAATTATTACATCTACAATTTCTGCAGCCCACTGCAGAGACAAGGGAACTGAAGAAACGTTGATTAATAATTGTGTAGGATGAAAGATCATAGTTGGTTGTTTCCCCAGTCAGATTCTTGTTGTTGTATACTTAAAACTTCTGCTGTGCTCTACAACAACTTTCAGAGTTTGCAGTTTCAGCAGCACCTTCAGTACCCGTAGGCTCATTGGTGTCAGCATCCAAAGTAGGGCTGGAACACAAAAATAAAAGAAGCATTAAATTAGCATCGATCACATTACCAGCAAGGCATTAATTTAATGGCGATCGAAGCGAAAAAAAAAGCGAAACGTGAAAACGACATCATAAATTTAATTTTAGAAGTAGAAAAATTACCTCAAATTCGAAGATTCGCTAAGTTTCCTTGCATGAATTCCTCTAGGCTTTGTATGTCTCTTTTTGTGTCCAAACATAAATCTTGTCACAATGAAAGCGTGTATAATAATCTTAATTAAAACACCAGCTGTCAGAACTTCAAAATGCGATTGAAATGAATCAGAACAACAACAAACAACATTGGGGAAACCCACGCTCTGCGCATGCGTAGGATATTCGTAGTCAAGGAAATGTCTAAAAGGTACCAATCAAATGCTGCCAATAGGAATAAACTCACAGGGAGCAAGTACAGCAGGGATCTACCAGTCATCAGTAGAAGTTATCCTCGTCGACAAGTGTTTCGGCCCACGATTCTCCTAGACACTTTCGGAGGTGGGCCCACCTGAGTTCATGAAGCTCAGGGCTGGTACCCTGCTGCACGAAATTACCGGATGGTGTTTTTCTTTCGGATAGGGACAAGACGACTTGGTGGTTTGCAGAAGGTACTGTGAGATAAGAAGTCGTCACTGCAGCCTAATTAAAGCAGTCAGCATACCTGGACGACCGAGCGACAAGCTTACGATTGGTATACCAGACACATGTTGGACTTTTATTAGCAGGTGGCAGAGGATCACTGGCAGACAATTCGGACACGATGGACTTTCAAGGGGTGAGAAACCCTTTTCCACTAGACACCCGGACCAGCTCACCGAGGCCCGTCCCCTACGTTGTTCCATTGCGTCCAAAGCCTACTCGTGGCCCTTTCGGCTGCCTCGCCCAGTTTTTTAAGTGTTCGCTTCCGTTCATTACCGCGCAATCCTAGTTCTTTAACCACATAGTACAGTGAAGTGGAGACGAGACCTCGCGCTCCCACTTCGACGGCAAAAACACGTACCGTGTACGCCTCGTTTCTCCTCAGACCAGCTGCTAAATCCCTGTATTTCTCGAGCTTATACAGGTGGTTTTCGTCCAAACGGGACTTATACGGAACGGTGAGCTCAATCAGGATGAGTTGCCGTTTCTCCGCAGAGTGGAGAACTATGTCAGGTCGCAGACCGGTCTTCCGGATTAACTCGGGGTACCGTTCATGGCCTGGCAGATCAACCGCCAGTAACCAGTCCCTCGCAGAGTCTAGCACAGATGGAGCGATTGCGTTTCGGTTGACCTTACCTTTTTGAATCTGCCCAGCCTTGAGGAAACGAATGGGGACGATGGTAGAACTGGCTCTAGCGTTACCCCTCATTCTAGCCTGGTCAACAACGGCTGCTAACTCTTTTAGTACCTTTTTGTGTCGCCAGGTATATCGGCCTTGGCCTAGGGCTTTCCTGCATGCGGACAGGACATGCTCAAGAGTCTGCTTCGCTTTGCACAACGGGCAAGTCGGATCGTTAGTCGCAGACCATTTAACCATGTTAACACCGGACGGTAATACATCGTACGCCGAACGAACGATAAAGCTCAGTCGCAACGGGGTCATTCGCCAGATCTCACCTAATGTGAGTATTCTTGGCAATGCGCTCTCAAGGCTGACCCAATGGCCCTGCTGCGACTGCTGGGCTGCTTTTTGGAAACAAATCTCGTTTTCGTTGTCCCTCACCTCTTGTATTACCATGTCTCGGCGTTCTTTGGCTGAGGTCTTTGACCACCAATTGACCTTCCCGTGCCCTAGGCCTCGACGGTCGGTTTGAGTGTATCCCATTATCTCCTTCAATTTTAGTGCGTTCTGCGCAGATTCGATCGCATCGAGGACCCTCCACTTCTGGCCAGTCTTTAGAGCGGGCTGGACAGCGATGACATTTGGGTCTGAAGACTCGCGCAAGAGCATGGCGAGTCTTACCTTGCCGAATTTAAACTCTTCTGTTATCGATTTGAACGGGAGTACCAGCTTAGCCTGCTTGCAATACAGAGCCACGTCGGTCAGACAAGGCGGTGCACCAATCCACTTTCTTAAGGCTGTGTTGATTTTCCTCTCCATGGTTTCCACTGCAGTCATCGTCACCTCGTAGACTAACAGTGGCCAGAGGAGCTTCGGAATCAACATGAATTGGAGACACCAAACCTTGAACTTCCCGACCAACCTGCAATGCTCGATCGCGAGCAGGCCTGTAGCCAGTGACTCCAGTATTCGCCGGACCTCCGCTCTATCAGATAACTTCGAATCGTAAACGCGACCGAGGCTCTTCACCGGTTCATCCAGAACCGTGGGGATCTTGTTCCTTGCCACCGTAAAACTGGTTGCCGACACCTTGCCCTTAAGGATTGACAGACTCCTCGACTTCTGCGGTTTGAACTGCATACCGCTCCATTGGACCACCGCCTCCAATCTTTTCAGGATCGTGCGGGCAGACTCCTCGCTGCCCGTAATTATAGTTGTGTCATCCATAAATGCGCGAAGTGGCGGCATCCAGTGATCCCCTATTTGAAGGCCCTGTCCGTATCCGGCCGCCCCGTCTAACATGATCTGCATGGCCAT